AGGCACATGGACGGGAAGGACGATATTATGCCAGAAGCACACCTCATTACACCATCATGGCACCACGAAGCATTGAAAGAGATACTTGAACGCATCCTTTTGAACGTCGTCAATAGTAAGAAACATATGCATCAAATTGTTATTCACGCTCACTGGAACCCTAGATCTATCTGCATGCGATGCCATATTGCTCAGCGTTGCACCGTTCCTGGATTCCCAATAGTCAGGCCCATTAACATAAGTCAGTTTTTCAAGACGAAGGCCGAGATACAATAGACGTGTGGATACTGCTCCGGAACTAGACGTCGAGATTGATCGACTTAGCGGCTTCGATCTAACTGATGGGAGTCTTGGGTACATCTGCGTCGTATCTACTCTAGACCACTTTGGCCGAAGGCAAAAGCAACAAGCGGAGACTCGCAACAGGCGAAGTCCGAAGGCCGACGTGCGTTATCCCGGCAGTCTGCTCATTGTCCGAAGCAAGCTTGAACATTCACATCATCCTGGCTCCAGCAGAAGCTTCTCGATAAGCAAGCCGGGTTCGCGAATGTGAACATTACCGCGGTTCCAAAACAAAAGCTTCATACTGTGGTAGATTCTCCAAAGAAATATCACCCAGCCCCCCCGTTACGGAAAAGCAAATCAAGTCCGCAAGATAAAACGCCTTCCCAGCGCCAAGTTAGGACATGAGCGATTTCCGCAGAGAAACATCACCCTGGCTCTAACTAGCGTCATGAAATTTCAACGCACGAACATTCTGGGGACTCTCACCTCGCGAGAAGTGACGGCCGCTAATCTTGGCAGGCGTTGAGCGCACATCAAACCGGGCTGCTAGTGCATCGAAGTGCGGGGGGCTGGGGCGACAAGTCTTTGAACGACAGTGTCAAGTATGGCTCGAAGCTGATCATTGTGCGCTCGCTCTGTAGGTCCTCGACACTACTGTCGAACGAACATGTCTGGATGATTATGTAGAAGACGTAGGCTGTGAGGCAGCTCGCTCTTAAGGGGACAACAATGCCAGAAGCATGATGCTATTGCACTTGCATCCAGGGATCATGACAAGGAAGCGCATCGAATGAGCTCGCAGGTTGAATGAGGTTCCTGTAGCGCAGGGTTCTCCCAACTGTTGGAAGGAACGGCGGGGGGTATTCGGTGGTCCTCCTCTTAAACGCGTGGACGTCAAGATCAAGGTTCGTGATAGATCTACAAAGGGTACCACTAGAAGATTGGTGCTACAATTTAAATGAGGGATGTGTTTAAGTAACCATCTTTGAACTAGCAGACCTATTATGAACATAGTCATCGGAAGCTAGCCAAACTTGGACTCACTCGCGAAAGAGCATTTCGCGAACTCGGTTGTACGAGTGTCTTGTATGTCTCCTGCCGCTGTTTTCTTCCACGTTCGTTCTCTTCATAGAGCCTATAGCGACTCTCTCATTACCACGAATAGCGTCTTCTCCTAACCTAGCCAAGGGCTCGTTTACGAGTCAGATAAGCGTGGGATTCACATGAACATCAGCGAGTAAAGATCCTGCACGCGATTTTCAAGAGGACCATGACTAAAGACCAGCGTTCCCGATTAAGAGTCTCTGATGTAGACTGTGGGGTACCCAATTACGTGGTTTGGGCGCAAGTACCGCGGCTTGTTTTACTTGCAATGCTTGGGTCACTAAAGCTAACAAGCCTTCGGGCCCATGCGATTGATGCAGAAAGCTGTGCTACAGGCTGTATCAGTCTCTCGAAATCGAAATGCCTCGGCTAGTTTGCTTCGTGACTTACAGATCGATCCGGCAGTGTTCCGCGTCTAAGCACTGAAAAGAAGTCCAACTCACGGTAGCTCATGAGGGGACGCCTTTCCAGATTTACGTTATCAGTACAGACGGTGGCCCAGTAGTGCTGATCCACCACTAAATTGTCACAAGGTCGAAAGCCGATGTTCAACACTGCTCATTGTCAGCGTGAAAGATGCTGCCCAAGTCGGGAAACTACAGACCGTACCTATCTTCACTATTCCTAACAGGGAGACTTGGACGCTGTCTGCAGAGAACGGAACGCCATTGGCGATCAGATGCTGAATACCATCGAGAAGCTGCTCCATACTCAGCATAGCTTCAAGATTTCTACATCTACGCTAGCTTACCTGAGATAAGGCGGATGCTAGTTCCACTTCTGTTGTTAAGAAAAGGCTCGCTAAGTCTATTACGAGATGTTCGTAAATGACGTGACTCTTCTTCTCGTCTAGAAATATGGCATGGATTGTGGCAATGTTAGGATGGGAAATGTGGTGGACGAGATCCAGATTGCTTAGTCGAGTCGAGCGTGAGACTGCGATTGTGCTGTTCTTACGATGCCGGACAAGGCCTATGGCGGCATTAGCACAAATGATATTGTAATGGTCCTCTAGGGAACCTGTTGTGTAAATCAACACAAGGCGCTTGACGCGAGATGACGGCATGTCGTCATTGATACGAGAGATATCCAGATTATTACTGCTCCAAATACTTGCGCTGAGGGCAAGGTTATAGTCATGGCCATGCTATAACGTTCTAGTTCTATGTCTTTTGTTTCTTGTCTAGCCCTGCGTCATCAATCAGTAGCATACAAGTTGACCTAACGTTCCGACTTCTTGTCAGGCTCCTGACATAACTTTAACTAGCTTCCCGCTATCTGATTAAACCCTTTTCATCCTCTCGACGATCTTTGGTTTGCATGTTCTGTTTTGTTGTTGTCACAATAACAAACCCGCAGTATGTAAATGCGAGTCAATACGTCACAAATCCGTACTTACGTTAGCGGGTTCCGCTAAAAGCAAAGACTGTAGGGGTTCCTTTCCGAAGCTTCTCCACGGCTTTGATTATTCGTGAAATCGTAGCAGACATCTTCTGGCACTGGGGTGACGTAAAGCAGTCAGGTCATCGTAGTGG